GTGACCACTGCCATCCATCCCATGGCCACCCCACTCCTCTGTCCCACCATCCCCCATCCCATGGCCACCCCACACCTCTGTCCCACCATCCCCCATCCCACGGCCACCCCACGCCTCTGTGCCACCATCCCATGGGCACCCCAATCCTCCCAGCCCCACAGGGTCTCCCCACACCCCATCCCACCCCGCGGTGATCTCCCCATCCCCTGCTCACATGGCAGCATGTGCGGGCTGACCAGCAGGTCGGGGATCAGCTGCTCTGTCGGTGGCACCGGGCAGGTGCCCGGGGGTCCTGGGGGGCCCAGGGGGGGCCCGGTCTCAGCGAGGGCGCGGGGCAGCAGCTCCGGGGCGCCCCGGGAGCCCCCCGCATCCCCCTGCAGCAGCGCCGGGGCGGGGGGCACAAAGGAGCCCCCCGAGGGGCAGCAGCTGCCAAAGGCAGGGGGCTCCTCCTTGGGCCAGGGGTAGGGGGGCAGCAGATCCCCCCCGTGCTGCGTGTCTGGAGCACAGAGGGGTCAGGGGGTGCAGCCAAACCCCCCAAAACCCCCAACCATCTGGAGCACAGAGGGGTCAGGGGGTGCAACCCAAACCCCCGACACCCCAAAGCACCTGGAGCACAGAGCGGGTCAGGGGGTGCAGCCAAACCCCCCCCGACACCCCCAAGCACCTGGAGCACAAATGGGGTCAGGGGGTGCAGCCAAACCCCCCCCGACACCCCCAAAGCACCTGGAGCAGAGAGGGGGTCAGGGGGTGCAACCCAAACCCCCAAAACCCCCAACCATCTGGAGCACAGAGGGGGTCACGGGCAACCCCCTGACACCCCCAAGCACCCGGTGCCCCCCACTCACCATCGATGCTCAGGGATGTCATCTTCTGGAGCTGTGGGGCAGAGTGGGTGTCACAGGGACCCCCTGAGGTGTCCCCGGATTGGGGATCCGCCCACCCCGAGCCCCCCCGGTTACCTGGCTGGCGTCTTCCTCCCCACTGCAGCCATAGTCATCCTCGTCCCACCCGTCTGCAGGGAAGGGAGACAGGGGCTGGGAAGGGCAGGGGGAGTTTGGGGGTGCTGGGGTGGGCACTGAGGGGCACTGGGGACTCACAGGGGGTGGGTCCCTTTGGGGGGGCACATCTCTGGGGGTGCTGGGTCCTTATGGGGTGTGGGGGGCCGGTGGGGTGCTGGGGCTTTGTGGGTG